GGGGCGGGGAAACGGGAGCTCGGGCCCGGACTGGCTGGCGGGCTGGGCGGGGCTGGTCCGCGCGGCTCTGAAAGCCAGCCTGGGGCGGGGTGCCGCCTTCCCTGCCCGCCGCGTCTCCGGGAAGGCCGCATCTCCCCTGCTCCCAGGTAAGCCCAGGGCTGTGAAGGCGCTGTGGGCACCCCTCCGCCAGGTCACCTGTGCCTCATGCCCGAGAGCCCTGGGCCCTCCAGTGCTCTGGGCCAGCACCAGCCTGGGAGGGTAGGCAGGGGCTCCCGGTGGCTAGGGTGCAGACCCCGAGGCCGGAGCCCTGCCCACCAGTGCCATGTCGGCTCTCCTTCGGCTCTGGGAAGCCAGGAGCAGCCCCACCTGGCCAGGGATGGGACGCGCCCTTGCCCACTGTGGGGTCTTCGTGACTGGGTTGCTGCCCGTGGGTCGGGAGGTGGTGAAGGGTGCGCTGGGTATTGGTCACTTGCAGGGCTAGGCTCTGATTGCTGGTTCCTGGCTGGTGGCCTCGGGACGCCACTTAACCTTTCGGACCTCAGGGTCCTTGCTGAGGCGCGTGTGGGGAAGTGGAACCCCTCAGGACTTACAGGTACAAGTGACCTGTGCGTGGCCTGGCCAGGCGGACACAGGAGCCTCCCTGCGCCTCTGAGTCCGCAAGGCCTGTGAGCAGATGAGCTCAGGGAGGTACCTGGGGTGGAGGCTCCTTAAGGAGCCGCTGGGAGGTTAGAATGCCACAGTCCTGGGTGTGGGACGCAGCCCCTGACCCTGGGCAAGCCCCTTGGCATCTCTGCCTTCTTTCTGAAATGAGGTTGAGGGAGCCACATTTGGCACATCTGAGCCTTGCTAGCATGAGGCTTTGGAAATTAAAGCTAGTGGGGGAGCCAGCAGTTAGCGTAATGGCTATGTTGTTGGACTCCCACGTAGTCGACCGCGGTTCACGTCCTGGACCCGGTGGCTTAAAACTCACGCTGGGCACGTGTGCGTGCGTGCCCAAGATCCCGAGAGAATGGAGGAGAAGGGATTGCTGCGTGACCATCCCCCCTGGGGGGTGATTTCTCGCTTTCTGTCTCTCTCTGTCTGGCTAGCGCACGTGCCCTATAGCAATAACCTCTCCAAAGAAACAAAAAGATAAAAAAAAAAAAGAAAAGAAAAAGAAAGAAATTAAAGCTAGTGGGGACCAGCAGGTGCCTTGGTGGTTAAGGCACTGGATACTCCCACATGACCCACCACGGTTTGAGTCCCAGACCTGGTGGTTTGGTTTCTCACTTTCTCTGTCTCACTCTGGTCAAAATAAAATAAAATAAATGAATGAATAAATAAAATTAAAGAAAAGAAGTTAAAGCTAGTTCCGTGCCGGGCATTGTTCGGGCACTGTCGGGTACGAGGTGGGGGTACTGGAACTCACTAGACCCTCCCAAGACCCTCTATTCCACCCACCTTACTGCTAAGGCCTCGGCCCAGAGAAGCCAGATGTGCTAGTATTTTACTCAAGGCCACTCCACTTAGCCAGTGGCCAAAAAGCCAAAGCTAACGCCATCAAGCTGGCACTGTCACTGACGTGGAGACAGAGCGTGGCCGTGGTTCTGAGTTCTGTCCACATCCGGGACTTCTACTGACTCATCCTCCACCAGAAGAGAAACTGCCCCCCCCCCACTGGCTCACGTGCCCTATAGCAAAAACCTCTCCAAAAAAGAAGAGAAATTGGGGCCTGCAGGTGGCATGGGGTTAAGGCAGCTGGACTCCCACATGGTTGACCAGGGTGCGAGTCCTGGACCTGGCAGCAAATTGGGACCTGCAGGTGGCATGGGGTTAAGGCAGCTGGACTCCCACATGGTTGACCAGGGTTCGAGTCCTGGACCTGGCAGCTTGCTTTCTCATTTATTTTCCTTCTCTCTCTCTCTCTCTCTCTAGACAACTTCAAAAACTAAAAATAATGACAATAATTCTAAAAAAAAAAGAGAGAGAGAAACAGGCAGGCTGGATCCCACGTGGCCAGCTACCCCTCGGAGTTTCCACCCGCGTGTTTTCCCTACGTGTTATGCGCCCCAAATCCCGAGAGAAGGGATTATAGGTGGCCACCCTCCACGCTTCCTCACTTTCCTGCTGTCTCTCCGGGCGCGTAGGCGCCTTCTGGACCAGTCAGAGCCCAGAGGTTCGAGTTCCCAGGGACGCCCTCCCCCAGCCCTCCCTCCGCTTGCGAAGCCCCCAGCACCATCATGTGGCAGAAGGCGGAGTCCCTCTTCCTGTGCTACCTGCTGCTCTTCACCTGTTGCACCGGGGCAGAAGCAGGTAAAGCCCGGGGCGGAGCTGTGGGGCCCCTGGACTCCCACATGGCTGATCACGTGGGGGCTGTGGGGCGTGGCTATGGGGCGGGGGCG